GTTAATGGGGACTGTTAGTGACTAACAACAGGGGGTGTGTATTGCCAAGCTATGTGGTAACAAGGCCTGGTGTGTGGGGTGGGGGGCTGGGACATGGGAGAGTTTAGGCCCTAAAATTATTGAATTCAATATTGAGTCTGGAGGGCTGTCGGGTCCCCAAGCGGAAAATGAGGTTTTGTTCCTCCAGCTTGCGTTGGGCTTCACTAGAACAATGCAGCAAGCCAGAGACAGAAATGTTGGCCAGGGAGCAGGGTGGTGCATTGAAGTGGCAGGCAACAGGTAGTTCAGGGTCTTTTTTGCGAGCAGAACGTAGATGTTCTGCGAAGCGGTCGCCAAGTCTACGTTTCATTTCCCCAATGTAGAGGAGACCACATTGTGAGCAGCGAATGCAGTAGACTAGATTCTTGGAAGTGCAGGTGAAGTGTTGCTTCACCTGGAAAGTATGTTTGGGACCTTAGAAACTGGGTAGGGAGGAGGTAAATGGACAAGTGTTGCACCTTCGCCGGTTACAGGGGAAGGTGCAGTAGGGCTGTGGGGAGGTGTTGGGGGTGAAGGAAGTATGGACCAGGGTGTCCCGGAGGGAACGGTCCCTGCGGAAGGTGGACAAGGGAGGGGAGGGGAATATGTGTCTGGTGGTGGCATCTTGCTGGAGGTGGCGGAAATGGTGTCTGATGATCTTCTGGATGTGGATGCTGGTGGGACGGTAGATGACGATAAGGGCAACCCTATCGCTGTTGCGGGAGGGAGGAGAAGGGGTGAGGGCAGAAGGGCGGGAGATGGATCGGACCCGATTGAGGGCCCTGTCGACAACGGAGCTGGGGAATCCTTGGTTGAGGAAGAATATGGACATTTTGGAGGCTCCCTTGTCGAAGTTGGCCTCATCTGAACATATGTGATGGAGGTGGAGGAACTGAGAGAATGGGATGGAGTCTTTACAGGAAGCAGGGTGTGAGAATGTATAGTCCAGGTAGCTGTGGGAGTCGGTGGGTTTGTAATGGATATTAGTGGCCATCTATCCCCAGAAATGGAAACAGAAATGTCGAGGAAGGGAAGGGAGGAGTCAGAGATAGACCAGGTGAAAGTGAGGGCAGGGTGGAGATTGGAGGCGAAATTGATGAAGTTTTCCAATTCTCGACGAGAGAGGGAAGCAGCACCGATGATATCATCGAAGTGTCGGAGAAAGAGTTGTGGGTGGGGGCCGGAATAGGACTGGAACAAGGAATGTTCCACATACCCGATGAAGAGACAGGCATAACTTGGGCCCATGCGGGTACTCATGGCAACCCCTCTTACCTGAAGAAAATGAGAGGAGTTGAAAGAGAAGTTGTTGAGGGAACTGTACACAGTGAGTTAGTTATTACAATGAAAAGTGATGCTTTTTGCAGGATGAACCCAAGTATATAAAATTATGAGAGGCATGGATAGGGTAGATAGTTGGAGACATTTTCTCAGGATAGCAATGTCTAATACTAGGAGCACAGGTTTAAGGCAAGTGGGGGGGAGTTTAAGGGAGATGTGTGAGGCAAGTTTTTTTTTTTTTACACAGAGGGCGGTAGGTGCCTGGAAAGTGCTGCCAGATAGAAGCAGATATTATAGGAGTGTTTAAACAGATAGATGAACAGGTAGAGAATACAGGGATATGGAAAATATGCAGGCAGATGGATTAGTTCAAAATGGCATCATGGTCAGTACAAACATGGTGGACCGAAGGACCTGATCCTGTGCTGTACTGTGTTCTGTGTACATGCCCTGGGAGTACCTGGTATTGTAATGGATTTCCTGGAATGGGAAGTGCTCATTTCTCCCTTGAAAGATCTTTTGTCTTGTCCAGCACTGCATTCCCAAACAAAATGTGTTAATGATTCACAGGGATATGAAACGTGAGGTGTACTTACAGGTCGCCCAGGACTTCCAGGAATTCCTGGCTTTCCGACATTCCCAGGCTTTCCCCTCAATCCTGGCTGTCCTGCCACTCCTCTTTTCCCAGGTGGTCCTGTGATCCCCTGGAAAATGAGGGAAAGAAACAGGGATGTCATTAAACAATCTCCTCAGCCCTTTGTACTTTGGCTGTTAGATGGGAGGCTGGAGAAGATGCAGCAATTGCTCTTCCATCTCGAATTCCCTCAAGAACAGATGGGTGCAATTTCTCTTCGAGTGTCTGCAGGTATTGTTTACAATGCCACCTCTTTCCTATCACACAGTCAGTGGCAGATTGACTGAGAAATTGCCACTGCAGGGCAACCAGCTTTAAGTTCAAACAAATCAGTGTGCGCTAACATTCTGGAGCTGGGCGTGAATCTATTGACCTTACCACTTCTTCATCGCCATTTTCCTTCCTTTAAGATGCATCCCACATTTCATCTTCCGATTCCTCGTGTCAAAGTGTCACTGATCAGCAAGTATCTTGGCAAGTGGTTGGGTCACCGTGTTTCGCCCCTCCAGAGAGGCAGCACTCAGCTGCCTTCCTGAACCATCCCAGTCCAGAAGGACATACAAATTAAGACGAGCAATAGGCCACTTGGCGCCTTGAGCCTGCTGCACCATTCAATAAGATCTGATGATTTCATATTTCTGGCATAGTAGTCCCACAATGCCATTAGGGAGGGAATTCCAGGATTTTGACCCAGTGACAGTGAAGGAACGGCGATATATTTCCAAGTCAGGATGGTGAGTGGCTTGGACGGGAACATGGTGTTCCCATGTTTCTGCTGCCCTTTTTCCTTTCATTCACGGGATGCATAAATGGCCAGTATTTACTTATAGTTAATGGTTAAGGTCCGGAGGAGTGTTGTGGAACAGAGGGACCTAGGAATACAAGTACATAGTTCGTTGAAAGCAGCATCACAGGAGGACAGGGTGGTGAAGAAGGCATTTAGCATGCCGGCCTTCAGCGGTCAAGGCACTGAGTAAAGGAGTTGGGACGTTATATTACAGTTGTATAAGTCGTTGGTGAGGCTGCACTTGGAGTATTGTGTACAGTTTTGGTCACCCTGTTATCGGAAAGACACAGTTAAACTGGAAAGTGTGCAAAGAAGATTTACGAGGATGTTGCCAGGACTAGTAGGCCTGAGTTATAGGGAGAGGTTGGCTTAGGTAGGACTTTATTCCTTGGAACGTAGGAGAATGAGGGGTGACCTTATTGAGGTGCATAAAATCATGAGGGGCATAGATAGGATGAATGCATACAGTCTTTTCCTAGGGATGGGGAATTGAAAACTAGAGGGCATAGGTTTAAGGTGAGAGGGGATTGATTTAAGAAGGACCTGAGGGGCAACTTCTTCACACAGAGAGTGGTGTGTGTATGGAATCGGCTGCCAGAGAAAGTGGTTGAGGCAGGTACAATAGCAACATTTAAAAAACATTTGGATAGGTACATGGATGGGAAGGGTCTAGAGGAATATGGACCAAATGTGGGCAATTGGAACCATCTGAATGGACACCATGGTCAGCCTGGACCAGTTTAGACTGAAACTCCATGACTCTACTGCCCATCCCTAATCACCCAGAGCTTCCCACATGGTGTGGACCACGTTACCTAACTCCACCTCCAACCCCATCTCCAGCCCCATCATGGGGTATATCCTAGTGTTAATGGCTTCAATAGGCCCAAGGTGAGATGGGTCGTCTGATGCCTCTCCTGGTCCATTTCAGAGTGAGCTGAGGAGAAATGTCTTCACCTAGAGAGTGGGGAGCCAGTGAAAGAGGTTGAAGCCAAAACGTTGAATGTTTTCAAGAAGGAGTTAGGTATAGTTCTTAGGGCTAATGGGGTCAAAGGATCTGGGGAGAAAGTGGGAACAGGGGACTGAATTAGATGGTCAGATTCGAGCAGATTGAATGATGGAGCAGGCTCGAAGGGCGGAATGGCCTACTCCTGCTCCTATTTTTTATGTCCCTCCCCAAATTGTAAGAGTTCAGGAAGTGGAGGGACCACCTCTGGGATTTTACTGGCTCTGCTGTCTTCAAACCTGCCAATAGGGGGGAGTGTAAAATCTGACCCACACTTTTTTACTTCATTCTCATTTAATTAATTGGATTTAAATTCTTTAGCTGCGTTGTTGGCATTTGAACTAGTGTTCTCCGACTATTAGCCTGGGCCTCTGGAATCGAGTTCAGTAATGCGGGTCAGCACGGTGGCTCAGTGGTTAGCACTGCTGCCTCACAGCGCCAGGAACCCAGGTTCGATTCCATCCTCGAGTGACTGTCTGTGTGGAGTTTGCACATTCTCCCTGTGTCTGTGTGGGTTTCCTCTGGGTGCTCTGGTTTCCTCCCACAGTCCAAAGATGTGCAGGTTAGTTGGATTGGCCATGCTAAATTGCACGTAGTGTCCAAGGATGTGTAGATTGGGTGGGTTATAGGGGGATAGGTCTGGGTGGGATGCACTGAGGGTCAGTGTGGACTTGTTGGGCTGAAGGGCCTGTTTCCACACTGTAGGGATTCTATGATAATGACACTCCCACTCCCTTGTTGAGAAGGAGCATCAGCACCACCTTCATAAGGGAGTCAAGGCAACAGCTTCTGGCCACTGAGATAGTAGGAACTGCAGATGCTGGAGAATCTGAGATAACATTTCGGGCCTAGACCCTTCTTCTTTTTTCTGAAGAAGGGTCTAGGCCCGAAACGTCAGCCTTCCTGCTCCTCTGATGCTGCTTGGCCTGTTGTGTTCATCCAGCTCTACACCTTGTTATCTCAGCTTCTGGCCACTTCCCTGATGCCTACGTCCATGAATGAGCTTTTAGGTAAAACATCCCCTGTCCTCCATGGATCTTTGAATGAGATTGCTGGTTTAGTAATGGTGACAAACTCGAAGGCATCTTTCATTGTGGCCGCCAATGTGATGAGATGCATCATTCAGTGATGTCAGGGCTGGAAGTGTTGCTGAGCTCTGCATTTTTATACACGACAACCTGGAGAACATTGATGGTTTAAATCCCCTCCCTAAGGGCATTGTGGGGTTACCTATAGCACATGGATCGCAGCGGTTCAAGAAGGCAGCTCACCACCACCTCCTCAAGGGGCAACTAGGGACGGGCAATAAACGCTGACCCAGCCAACATCACCCACGTCCCTCAAATGAATGAAGAACAACCATGACAGTTAGGCTGGAAGTGCGCCACTGGGTATAAATTTTGGCCATAAATAGTTGAGATATCAGAGAAATTAAACAATGGTCTTTCCTCCAATCTGACCTTGAACAATGAATGGGAATAATATTTTTGGCTGTTAAAGGGATACTCACCGATAAGCCTGGTTTCCCGGGGTCACCACGAGATCCTTTTGCCCCTTTTTCACCCTGGAATCATCGCAGACAGCTCAGCATTAGTGCTGTTTCACCGTATTGTCGTCAGTATTACCCCTGCCCCAGTTACCAACATAATCAGAGAATCACAATGGCCGGAAGGAGGCCATTCAGCTACTGCCCCTGAAATGGATCTGTGAAAGGGATATTGGATTAATTCCATTGTATATAAACAGACATTTTCTCAGCTACCATCAGTTCTGAGGAAGAGTCACTCGACCCGAAACGTTAACTCTGATTTGTCTCTATAGACGCTGCCAGACCTGCTGAGCTTTTCCAGCAATTTCTGTTTTTGCTCCATTGTATCATTGTTCTTTCCCCAGAACCCTGCTAACTGTTCCGCCTTCAATGATTTATCCAAATTGTTGTGTAAGGTGATGGTTCTGAAAGGGTTAAGGCTGTCGATGGCATGAAGCTCCACCCAATTTGATGATGCTGTATTGATTTGCGTGGGGCTGTTTCAGACCTTGCTGAATGCAATTCGATATCTAAGTCTCCTCATATGGTCTCACAAACACTATCTGATGAATAAATGTGACTTGTACCAGATTTCTATCTTACAATAAATATCATCTTGCTGAAGATAAGATTCTCTCCCTGAAGCCTGGTGCAAACTCCCCCCATTCACAATCTGCCTGTGGGCATGGGTCTGGTGAAAACTCACAAACTGGTTTCTCCCACCACAATGTCAAACAGCTTTTTCTGACCTTTTCAATCTCAGATTTCCAGCATTTTCGTCATTAATTTCATCACCCTGTCACGCAGTGTATCTCAGATCATAACAAATCACTCAGCTCCCTCTCTGGCTCTTGTGTCAATCACCTTAATGACTGGAGTTGGAATGTTTTATCACTGGCAACTCTATCTGCTTACCTGTATTGAATACAGATGCATTGTGTTGAAACTTTTCATCTTGCCCTCATCAGGATATTGCTCAAGATTACCAGTTCAAGGGAAAAACTCACATCTAATGCTGAATGAGAGCATGCTGAGAACTATTATTAG